ATAAATTACCTTGGGCAGTATGGCCATTTTCATGATATTGATTCTTCCTATCCATGAGCATGGAATGTTCTTCCATTTGTTTGTGTCCTCTTTTATTTTGTTGAGCAGTGGTTTGTAATTCTCCTTGAAGAGGTCCCTCATATCCTCAAGGGATTCTTTTTCCTCAGCCTACCAAGTAGCTGAGATTACAGGCTCCTACCACCATGCCTGGCTAATTTTTGTATTTTAGTAGAGATGGGGATTTCACCATGTTGGTCAGGTTGGTTTCAAACTCCTGACCTCAAACGATGCACCCGCTTCGGCCTCCCAAAGTGCTGGGTTTACAGGCGTGAGCCACGACACATGGACTAAAAAAGTTCTTAAAAATTTAAGTTTATAAAGTAAAAATGTTCTTTGGGAAGTTGAGGCGAGAGGATCACTTAAGGCCAGGAGCTGAAGACAAGCCTGGGAAACATAGCAAGACCTCATCTCTACTAAAAATTTTTTTAAAAATTAGCTGGGCATCATAGTACACACCTGTAATCCCAACTACTAGGGAGGCTGAGGCAGAAGGATCACTTGACCCCAGAGTTCGAGTTTACAGTGAGCTATAATTGCACTCCAGTCTACACAACAGAGAAAGCAGCTATCTCTAGAATAAATAAAGTAAAAAAGTTACAGTTAACTAAGGCTAATTTATTATTGAAGAAAAAAATAAATTTAGTGTAGCCTAACTGTACAGTGTTTATACAGTCTATAGTAGTAATGTCCTAGGCCTTCACATGCACTCACCACTCATCACACTGACTCACTCAGAGCAACTTCCAGTCCTTCAAGCTCCGTTCATGGTAAGTGCCCTATACAGGTGTACCATGTTTTATCTTTTATACCATATTTTTACTGTACCTTTTCTGTGTTTAGATATACAAATTCCATTGTGTTACAATTCCCTACAGTTTTCAGTACAGTCGCCTGCTGTACAGGTGTAGCCTAGGAGCCACAGGCTACCAAACAGCCTCGGTGTGTAGTAGGCTGTACCATCTAGGTTTGTATAAGTTCACTCTATAATGCTCACATGACAACAAAATTGCCTAAGAACACATTTTTCAGAATGTATCTCTGTCATTAAGTGATACATGACTGTACTTAGATTTTCATCAAATTTTCACCACATAACTATGAGTCTGCCCATTAGGCAGCATGCAGTTAGATCTGGGAGTGTATAGGTATTATTTTTATTCCCGTTATGTTTTTTGTTAATATTCTATGAATTTTAACAGAACCTTCCTAATTTTCATGACATATAAAATGAATATCTAACACTGAAATTTGATCTTACAAAGACCACCCTCTCCTACTCCCCTATTCTTCCTTTTTCTAGTTGGCATCTCGTGCCTTTAGCTTGTAGCATTCATCCCTATACACGGTCTAATTGCAGTGTCCTCCTTGATGCCATTCTGGTAAAATTTAAAGGAAAACTTCACCAGCATTAATTTTTTTATTCATTAAAACAACAAACCTTGGCCAGGCGCAGTGGCTTACGCTTGTAATCCCTGCACTTTGGGAGGCCGAGGCGGGCCAATCACCTGAGGTCAGGAATTCGAGAGCAGCCTGGCCAACATGGCAAAATCCTGTCTGTATTAAAAATACAAAAAAAATTAGCCAGGCGTGCTGGTGCATGCCTGTAGGCCCAGCTACTCAGGAGGCTGAGGCAGGAGAATCGTTTGAACCCGAGAGGCAGAGGTTGCAGTGAGCCGAGGTCACGCCACTGCACTCCAGTATGGACAATAGAGCGAGACTGTCAAAAAAAACAAAAAAAACCTCAACCAATGACAAATCTTAAAAAAATAGTATCAGCCACCAGTGTAGTCAGATATAATGAAAAATGTACAAAAGCTATTCACATTTGTGAAACTGAGAATTTGTTGTTCTAAAAGAGTACACTTAAAAAGTACATACCAAACAAAATTCCTATTTACTCCAGTCATACGAAGTTAGTTTTAAATTTTGCATTATAATATATGTATTCCGTTTATTTTTAAGTTCAAGAATTAGAAAGCAGCTCTTCTAGAAAATTTAAAAATCAATTTTACCCAGTGACAGGACTAATGAGTGTTCCTAAATGATTTAATGAAGTCTTTTTAAACAAAATGTCTGTATCATATTAATGATAAGCAACTAGAAGAAAAAAAGATGTCAAACATGAGAACGTAATAATGGAAAAGTATAAAAAAGCTAAAATTTCCGTTAAGTGTACCACATTTCTACTTTTGTATGGAGAATGGCTATTCATCTGACATAGGAAAATGCAGCCTCCTTACCAGTCACTGTTACAACATCATCTTTATGAGCTTCAGTCATTTCCTGAACATGGACTTCTGAGTTCACATCAACCTCTTTCCCTGATAACTGTAAATGAGCTTCAAGTGAAGATGGAACCTTGACAATAATAGAACCTGTAATAAATGTAAAGGAGAGTTTAGTAATATAAAGAAATCAAAAGTACCAGAGTCTATTATAAATTTGACTGAAAGGGTAGCATTGCTCCTGGGACACTGTTTTTACTCCTCAGCATAAAGTATTTATTTAAACCTTTTCCTTATTCCCAGGTGCTCAAAGTTCTCTTACTCTCAAGGCATTCACAGTAACTTCCGTCAAGAATATGGGTTATTAGCACATTATTAACTACTAGTTCTTCTTTTGCCAGTAGAACTACCCAGCTCATCCAACACCAGAAAGTGAGTAATTTATTACACATGTAGCTTATAGATAGGATTTACCATTGAGCATTTAATATGAGCCAGACCCCTAATTACATTATGTTTTAATCCCCATATTAACTTTATGAGTTTTTTTTAAATTATACTTTAAGTTCTAGGGTACATGTGCACAGCATGCAGGTTTGTTACATATGTATACATGTGCCATGTTGGTGTGCTGCACTCATTAACTCGTCATTTACATTAGGTATATCTCCAAATGATATCCCTCCCCTACCCCCTCCCCACAATAGAATGCGGTATGTGATGTTCCCCTTCCTGTGTCCAAGTGATCTCATTGTTCAATTCCCACCTGTGAGTGAGAACATGTGGTATTTGGTTTTCTGTTCTTGCGATAGTTTACTGAGAATGATGGTTTCCAGCTGTATCCATGTCCCTACAAAGGACACGAAC